AAAAGAAATTAGCCGGGTGTGGCGCTGTGCGCCTGTAGTCCCAGCTACTTGGGAGGCAGAGGCAGGAGAATTGTTTGAACCCGGGAGGCGGAGGTTGCAGTGAGCTGAGATGATGCCACTGCACTCCAGCCTGGGTGATAGAGCACAACTGTCTCTACAAAAAAAAAAAAAAAGTAAAGGGCATGGACTTTGCTATTTTACAGTGCGGCAAGTATGTTTTATTTGAGGAGTTCATAGTTGTTGGAAAGTTGACCACCAGATGAGTAAGTAGTGATGTAATTTACAAAGGAAACTATAATATCTATTCTGTGATGTATCTTCAAACCCTGACATGTTAGGTGTTAAAGGTTTACATATGTATGTGTTGAAAGAGATTTTAATAAAATTATTTTTTAAAGTCTGCCTAGTTTGAATAATTGAGCATTGGAAACACTTGAATAGGATGAAAATGTGTACATTAAATTAAGAAAATAAAAGTTAGGAAGGTATTTTCTTTATTGATAAGTGTATCCTGATTTGGAAAAGTGATGTTCCACTTAATATTTGTTCTGAATTATGATCCACTTAAAGTCAATGGCCATGTCTCCTTCTATGAATTTCTGGGTACCATAGTGCCTTTAACATAGTAGGTACACAATAAATACTTTCTTGAGCAAATGAATTGTTTTTCAAATTGGCTTTTTGGTTTTTCTTTTCTTTCCTCCCCTCCATTTAGAGCCGGGCACCAATCTCAGCCAAGCTTGTTGCAAATATGCTATCTGTAGCAGGTGCAGATCATATTATCACCATGGACCTACATGCTTCTCAAATTCAGGTATCAGTGGAAGCTAAATATTGGTGTTTGAAAGGTGGGAGGAAAAGACTGATGATGGTGAAGACCACAGAGAAGCCAAAAATTATGCCCAAGTACATCTGAAATAAACTAGATGTTAACAACATTTTAAATGTGTTCACCTTAAGCATACTTCATGATCTTAGTCATTTCAGGTGGTTAGATAGGGAGGCAGTCTAGTTTTATGGCAAGAGCATAGGCTTTGGGATCAGAACTACTTTGAATAAAGGCTCTGGTATTTACTAGCTTTGTAAGCTTGGGAAGGTTACTTAATTTCTCTGAACATATACTTTTTCATTATTGTGAGTATAAAACATTAAATTCATATTATAATGCCTGGCCCATGACAGGTACTCATAGATAGGAGCTGTTATTGTTAATTATTATCATTCTTATTCCCCTTGAATATTCATGGAGTGCAGTGGCATCATCTTGGCTCACTGCAACCTCTGCCTCCTCGGTTCAAGTGGTTCTCCTGCCTCAGCCTCCCAGGTAGCTGGGATTACAGGCACCCGACACCAGGCCCAGCTAACTTTTTTGTACTTTTAGTAGAGATGGGGTTTCACCATGTTGGCCAGGCTGGTCTCGAACTCCTGACCTCAAGTGATCTGCCCACCACAGCCTCCCAAAGTGCTGTGATTACAGGCATGAGCCACTGTGCCTGGCCTCATGGTCTTAAATTTAGAGCCACAGATATTGGAGCCTGCTTTCCAGCATAAACCCAAAGTAAGGGGGGTGGAATACCACCTTTATTTTATATTTTTTCAAAGATATTTTTCAAATCATCATTTCAAGCTTATGGGAATTCAATGAGGTACATTGGACAGGGACTGTATTCCTTTTATGAAAAGGAATGACTTAATTGAGAAATACAACTAATTTGTATCACCTGGAATTAGAACACAGATCTCCTGATTTCTAATTATTCATTGTGACCATTTATTATAAGTAGCTTCCATTAAGTTTATATACCATAGCATCTCTAACTGGTTTATCCATTAGCTTGTACTCCTTAACGAATCAGTCCAACATTTAGTGGCATAAAGCAGTATTTACTAATTCACTGAGTCTGCATGTTGACTTGGCAGTTCTTAATGGTTTTTTCTGGACTTAGCCATTCTTTACAAAGGCTCACTTACGTTCCTATGTTCAGTTGTGGGTTGACTAAGGGCTGACTTTGTTGATCTTGGCTGGGATCTCTCACATAGCCCAGATTCAGGGAGGCTTTTATAATCTACCACACTGGACCTGCCTTCCCATCGGTTTGAATGTTGCAGTAAGACATTCCCTGAGCGAGTTACTACTTTGTGTTTGCCACTTATAAATGGAAGAGAAGTAAAGTGAAGCAAAACTGATCCAGCTTCTTTCTACAGGGCTTTTTTGATATCCCAGTAGACAATTTGTATGCAGAGCCGGCTGTCCTAAAGTGGATAAGGGAGAATATCTCTGAGTGGAGGAACTGCACTATTGTCTCACCTGATGCTGGTGGAGCTAAGAGGTATGGTTGAAATTAGTATTGTTCCCAATGTACTGGGAAAATCTTTCAGATAGTTGTGTCACAAAGTGATGTTTTTCTATCCAAGTGGCAGTTTTTAAGTATTTTTGAATGGATATAAGTAGCTAGCACATGGGTTGAATATAGTTTTACCCTCTCCTCTTTTACTGTCCTGAGTGACTACTTGGAAGACAAGACAGAAAAGGGGTCCTAAATCATCATATTATGGACTTGACTATAACTTATGAGTAACTTGGCACTACAGAGCTAGCAATACAGCTATAAACCTTTTGGGAAGGGTAGAAAATGTGGTTTTCTAATGAATAGCAGCTGCTATTGAACCACGTATTGGTGGACAAATTCGCTTTTACACTCCGCTTACAATGCTGTTGGTTAGATCATTTTGATCCTTGGGATTAAAATATTAAGCAGGAAGGAAAGTAAAGCGTGATATTTTTATTTAAAGCCAAGATCTTAACATTTTAAACAAACTGATTGCCAGGGATTGCCAGTTACAGTGCTTTGCAGCTCACATGGTGCAGAGTAAGAGCTCTTGATTTCCTTAGTGGATTACTCGTTAGTAATGCATTCAAAAGTGTGACACATGTTCTTCTTCTTGTGGAAATAGAGTGAAAAGCTACAAAACACAGATGATTAGGAAGAACTAATTCAGAACTTTCTGAAAGCCATTCAAATCTTCAATGACTGTTTCTCAACAACCTCTTTTATTTCAGTAACTTCAACAGAACCGATAAGCTGAGAACTTGAGTTCTGTTATCCAGCCAGATATATGGCTTGGTGAGTCCCATGTAATTGCTAGTTACCATCTGTAAAGCTAGAGACACCTTAAGAAACATCCCCACAGCTAGTAGTTGTCATATTTAATTTGTTGGTCATTATTTTCATATCTTTCTATGGGACTTAGAAAATAGTCACATTTGAAATAGGCAGGATTTTCTTTCCAAAGGTGGGTATAGGAAAACTGCCTTTAGTAGACAACTAATTGCCACCTGATTTGTTTTTTTCATTATCATTGTCTTACAGTGATGGAGTATTTTCCAATTGGGTGTCTATCACTTCAGTCTTGGCAGGGTTTGGGGAGTAGGTAGAGATTCCTGTGTGATTTTCATTTGTACAGTAGTTCTCTCGTGAAAAGGTGTAGAGAGTTACTTTTTCTAGCCCTTTTGATGCTTTGTTGGTCACTGAATTTGTTGACCTTTGAGTATGTTTGGTTTGGGATACTTGAACTAATTGATCATGAATTTGCCTTGGATAAGTAATCATTCCAAGCAAATTGGTTACCATTAATGTTATGTGCTTATGCAGTAGTAGTGGAGAGTACAGGGTATGGTTGGTTTAGATCAAGGTACAAACGTTACCTAGATTATGGTTCAAACCTTATTATGTGGTCACAGGTTCTCACTTATCCAGCAAAAACTCATGTGACCATAGTCACAAGAGAAACAGGACAAAATGCTATAGTTTGTTCAGTTCTACATTAAAAAACAGGACAAATCCCCAAGCATGGGCTGCTTCACACATGACGGAGATGGCACAGTGGAGCACGGACAGGCATGCCACTGGGCAGCTCACTGTCATTTACACTGAATAGATTTTTGTTTGAATTATGTGGTACTTTGTCAAAAGACAAATTTTTCTTCTATCCCAGCTTCTAGTCTGGTTTATTTTCTCTTGTAATAAGAAAAATAAGAATTCTCTTTGATTAGAAGATACTTTGGACCGAATGATGAGATGTCCAGCTTGTCTGGGTAATTGGTATAACTTTCTGTCTAGCAATTGTAAAAGAAACTCCCAAGCTTGGTGTCCAGGTACAGTTGACGGTGACAGTTGATGGATGTTTTGCGAACAGCACTGAGGGAAGTGATGAGGGCACAGTCATTGGAACAGGCTGGATGCTGCTCCTCTCCTGCCAGTCAGGTTCTCTTCTCAACACATCCCCAGTCACGGGTCTTCCATGATGGGAATTGGGACAGTCTGTGTACTCCTGGCATTAGTTAATTCTTTCCTCATTCCTTCTACTGCCAATCCATTAAATAAACATGCGTGTCTTAGCGTTATACTGCTTCCCAGGACTGGTGAGTGTGTCTGTCCTCTACCCAGAATGAATACTCATCTAAGTTTGATCAGTACATTCATAAGCTTCTGTTGAGATATGGAGGCATTGGTTTATAAAACCCAGTTTGTGGTATTTGCCTATGAGAAGTCAATGATAGTTGCTTGCTTTCTTCCAGCCCTGGGAACTATTGGTTTCAAGGAGTATTCTCCTCCCCAAAACAAGCTCATTCTTTAGTCCATTTTTTTTTTTTTTTGAGACGGAGTCTCGCTTTGTTGCGTAGGCTGGAGTACAGTGGTGCTATCTCAGCTCACTGCAAGCTCCACCTCCCGGGTTCATGCCATTCTCCTGCCTCAGCCTCCTGAGTAGCTGGGACTACAGGTGCCCGCCACCATGCCCAGCTAATTTTTTGTATTTTTAGTAGAGATGGGGTGTCACTGTGTTAGCCAGGATGGTCTCGATCTCCTGACCTTGTGATCCACCCACCTCGGCCTCCCAAAGTGCTGGGATTACAGGCGTGAGCCACCGCACCAGCCTCTTTAGTCCATTTCTTTTGTCTTAGAAGCCACACATACATATGAACACCCTCTGTTTTGCAGAGTGACCTCCATTGCAGACAGGCTGAATGTGGACTTTGCCTTGATTCACAAAGAGCGGAAGAAGGCCAATGAAGTGGACCGCATGGTGCTTGTGGGAGATGTGAAGGATCGGGTGGCCATCCTTGTGGATGATATGGCTGACACTTGTGGCACAATCTGCCATGCAGCTGACAAGTAAGTGTGGATTGATGGGGCTGGTAGTTAGAAGGAAAAAGCTAGCAATTGCTGTCTGAATGTCTTCAGCCTGCTGATTCCTTTTGGAACCAAATTGAGGGGATAAGTAACTTTGGGAGATTTTTTATCACCCAAGGCTTAGATTATAATACATAGAAATTGTTGAGTACTCTTATTTTTTTTTCAGATTTTCTTAGTTTTTTTTTTTGAATTTATGTTGTACTAAGCTATATATAACAAAATTTGCCATTTAACTATTTTAAGTGTACAGTTCAATGACATTAACTATATTCACAATGTTAGACAACCATCGCCTGATTACCAAAGTTTTTTGATCACCCTGAGTATTCTACATGCGATTGTTTTTTGTTTTAATGAATTAAAGTAAAAATCCTGAGCAGACAGGCATGTGTGCTCGTATTTATATTTTACCTAAGCTGGAACCCTTGGTCTTACTTCTCGACTGTTTTACCGGCTGCTACTTTTGTTCATATTACTTCTTTTTTTCACTCTAATCCTGTGACAGGTTAATGTTTATGTTACTTGTCATCTCTTGCCTGCACTGTTCTAAACTGCCTCCCCACTCTGTTCTCCATTGCCAGACACCATTCTCTCACCTCCCCACTCCATCTCTCCACGCTTGCTAATCTTCCTGCAACTGAGGTTTGATCCCATCACTCTTTAATATTTTAAGTGGCCCCTCACTACTTACAATCCAAGCCACTATGAGTAGCATTGTTTCTTAGAATGGTATTTTTACTTTTATTTTTATTTTGAGACACGGTCTTACTCTGTTACCCAGGCTAGAGTGTAGTAGTACAATTATGGCTCACTGCAGTCTTGAAATCTTAGGCTCAAGAAATCTTCCTGTCTCAGATTCCTGAGTAGTTGGGACTACAGGCACGTGCCACCACACCTGGGTAATTATTTATTATTATTATTTTTTGTAGAGACGGAGTCCCACTATGTTGCCCAGGCTGTCCTTGGACTCCTGGGCTCAAGCAATTCTCCCACCTCAGCCTCCCAAAGTGCTGGGATTTCAGCTGTGAGCCACAGCACCCAGCCCTGAGAAGGGGTTTTTTAAACTTTCTTGTGTCTGTGCCTTGCACAGTGCCTGGCACATAATAAGGTGCTAAAAACAAAATTGGGGTGCTGAATGATTCTTGGTTTGGGATCCTGGAGTAAACATTCATAAAACCCATTTCATCCTTGTGCAAGTAAGGGAATACTAGTCGCTATAACAGATCACCTCCCTAACATGATAGTTTCCTTTTTGTCCATGGCACACTCCAATGCAAGTGTTCTTGTTGGACTCATTTTTTCTAAGCAATAGTTAGGAACTCTTTCAATCTTTGGTGCTGTATCTTTAACATGGGGCTTCCAAGATTACCTTGGAAGACATTTCAATTTTGGCCAGCCAGAAAAGGAAAAGGACACAGAGGATTACCCCTGGAAGATTTTTGTAAGTCCAACCAAAAACTGGTGTACACTGTGTCTGCCCACATTTTAATAGCCAGAATTAAGCCACATGGCCACACTGAACTATGTGAGGGAGGCTGGGAAATGTAGTTCAGCTGTGTGCCCAGAAAGAAGAGGAAGTGGATTTTGTTGAGTGCAGCAGTCTGTGCCAGAGTCCTTCTACACTAATTCAGACCCATTCAGATAAGTTCTTAGTGCAGTTCTTTCTTGATATGGACTGAATTGTGTCCTCCCCAAATTCATGTATGTTGAGGCCTAACCCCAATGTGATGGTATTTGGAGTCACCTGAGGGGCACATATTTAGGATTAGATGAGGTCACTAGGGCAGAGCCCTTACAATGGGATGAATGCCCTTACAAGAAGAGAATGCTGGAGAACTGGCCAGCATTTCCCCATGCGCACACGTGCTCATGCACACACACACTCACACAAAGAGGTCATCTGAGCACACAGCAAGGTGGTGGCCACCTACAAGCCAAGAGAAAAGGCCTCAGCATGAAACCTACTTTGTCTGCACCTTGATCTTGGACTTTAAGCCTCCAGAACTATGAAAAATGTGTTTCTGTTATTTAAGCCACCCATTCTATGGTATTTTCTTTTCCTTAAAATTTTTTTCCCCTAACCCACTGTGCCTTATAATATTTTTTTTATTTTTTATTTTTTTCATATGGTATTTTGTTATGGAAGCCTAAGCAGGCTAATATACTCCTCTCTGACTAAAATTCTGCAATGACAAGTAAGATGAATCCAACTTTTTTTTCCCTCTAGACTTCTCTCAGCTGGAGCCACCAGAGTTTATGCCATCTTGACTCATGGAATCTTCTCCGGTCCGGCTATTTCTCGCATCAACAACGCATGCTTTGAGGCAGTAGTAGTCACCAATACCATACCTCAGGAGGACAAGATGAAGCATTGCTCCAAAATACAGGTGAGGATGAGATTTGTGCAAAACAAGACTTTTCTAAGTGTTTAGGAGGTGGTTACTTACGTTGAATTAGGTCTCTAGATTCTGAAGATATCTTTCTTTGATCTGAAGGATTTAGTCTTGTCATCAGAATTTGTGATCTAAAAGTTAAAAATCACCTGTTTCTTCCCCCCCACCCTTTTTTTTTCTTTTCAAACTGCCAAGCCTTGGGAAAATCACCTGTTTAAAAGTTTAAATTGCTAGACCTCAGAATCTTTGGAAGATGGAGCCTAAGATTCTACATTTTAACAGGCTCTCCCAGTGATTCTGATGCAAATTAAAGTTTTCAAGTTCATACTTTACAGTATGTGTTTGTCCAACTCTTAACTATCGGCCCCTGTAGATATAACGTGAAACCTTTAAACTAATTATACGCTTCTGCCAACTTTAGTGTTTCTCAGTGTGCTCTGGACCTAAGGTTCTTATTAAAATGATGTAGATTCCTTTGCTCCATCTAAGACCTATAAAACCAGAGGTCCTGGAACCAGTATTTTAAAGTAATTCCCCAAGTAATTGTTAGACACTAAAGTTTGAGTGCTCTTGCACTAAAAGAACAAGGCCTTGCCTAATTAAAAATGTTTACATTAATCTATGAGCTTTTTGAAATTAATATGTGTAATTGGAGGATTATCGTCATTCTTTTTATTTTTTCTTTTTGAGAAGGGATCTTGCTCTGTTGCCCAGGCTGGAGTGCAGTGGCGCAATCAAAGCTCACTACAGCCGCAACTTCGCAGGCTCAGGCAGTCATCCCGTCTCAGCCTCCCAAGTAGCTGGGATCACAGGCATATACCACCATGCCCAGCTAATTTTTTTGATATTATGTGTAGAGACGGGGTCTCCCTATGTTGCCCAGGCTGGTCTCAAACTCCTAGCCTCAAGCTGTCCTCCTGTGTCAGCCTCCCAAAGTGCTGAGATTACAGGTGATTTTTTTTTTTTTTTTTTTTTTGAGACGGCGTTTTTTGTGATGGAGCTCTCGTTGCCCAGGCTGGAGTGCAATGGCGCGATCTCGGCTCACTGCAACCTCTGCCTCCTGGGTTCAAGCGAGTCTCCTGCCTCAGCCTCCCGAGTAGCTGGGATTACAGGCATGCGCCACCATGCCTGACTAATTTTGTATTTTTAGTAGAGATGGGGTTTCTCCATGTTGCTCAGGCTGGTCTCGAACTCCTGACCTCAGGTGATCCGTCCACCTCGGCCTCCCAAAGTGCTGGGATTATAGGCATGAGCCACCGTGCCCAGCCTATTCATAAGGATTTTAAAATGCGAACCTACCACCATTTTTTTTTAGACAGGGTCTCACTCTGTTGCCTAAGCTGGAGTGCAGTGGCCTGATCTTGACTCACTGCAGCCTCAAACTCCCAGGCTCAAGCGATCCTCCTACCTTAGCCTCCCAAGCAGCTGGGACTACAGGCATACACCACCACCACACCTGGCTAATTTTTGTTTTATTGTAGAGACAGAGTTTCACCATGTTGCCCATGCTGGTCTCAACTCCTGGGTTCAAGTGATCCTCCCACCTTGGCCTCCCAAAGTGCTGTGATTACAGGTGTGAGCCACAATGCCCAGCCATTTTGATGAACCAGAGTCAGCGTTTTTTCTCCATTAGCATTTTGACTCTTTCCTAAGTGGCTATCTGTTTTGTTTTGTTGTTTTGAGACAGAGTCTCGCTCTGTCACTCAGGCTGGAGTGCAGTGGCACGATCTTGGCTCACCGCAACCTCCACCTCCCGGGTTCAAGCAATTCTCATGCCTCAGCCTCCCGAGTAGCTGGGATTATAGGCGTACACCACCATGCTTGGTTAATTTTTGTATTTTTAGTAGAGATGGGGTTTCATCATGTTGGCCAGGCTGGTCTCCAACTCCTGGCCTCAAGTGATCTGCCCACCTTGGCCTCCCAAAGTGCCAGGATTAACAGGTGTGAGCAACTGTGCCCAGCCCTAAGTGGCTATCTTAAACATGTTATGAAGAATAGCTGAGTGCAGCTTCATGACAGGGAAACAGCACAGTGTTGTAGTTTTAAGAGGAAGGGCACTTGCTTGGCTGCTCATCAGTGTCTGCAAATTGGCCAGTCATCTCTGACCATATGATATTAACCTGATTTCCTTTCCTGCCTTTCTAGGTGATTGACATCTCTATGATCCTTGCAGAAGCCATCAGGAGAACTCACAATGGAGAATCCGTTTCTTACCTATTCAGCCATGTCCCTTTATAATAGAGTAACTTCTGAGGCTTTTTGAGAATAAAATCCACCCCACCCCTTCTTTCCCCTTGGTATTTGATGACAAATTCAGCAGAAGACCCGACTTGTTCCAGTGTAGCTTTCTACATCCCACATCAGGTATATTAGAGTTTGTCCGAATTGGAGAAAGACGGATTGAGATTAACTGCTGGGACTTCCTACCTGCATTATCTCATTCTGGCTTCCTTGATAATTCTGTGAGCCTTGCAGCTTTAACTGTAGCTCAGCTGCTGCAAGATTTCAGACTTTTGAGGATGTTGTGTGAGGGTGACTGTAATTGGAGAAGCTCAGACTACTTTGCATGTAAATGCTTCAGTGTTTTCTTTGTTGAGAACAACTAGCAACAAAAGCAACCCATGTGTGACCAGTTCTCCCCAAGGTCTATGCTAAATTATAGCAAGAGCCCTGGGCAACCCCAAACCTAGTTCTGGTAGCTGAGCACCCTGTAAGGCAGGAGCAGACAGCTCGGCTTGAGCAGACATTGGGTGGGGGGTGGTTGAGGGGGGAGGCAGCACAGTGCAGCAAATGTTTCTTGGGAGGAAGAAGCCTGATCCATCGCCATCTGCTTGACTATGTAGCTTGGAGTCTCCTTTGTACCTATCCCTTTCGATTTGGCTTTACCTTCATCTATCTTGATCCTTTCCTGGCCAAATATCCTCTTGGGCCCAAATGAACATTGTACCATAGTCTTCTGGAAAGCAAACATGCTTCCTGCTATGTAATTGCTAACATTTACATTAGATGATGTGTTGTAGTTTGATCTTCCTTAGCCTACTGCCACTGAGTCAGTAGGTTTTAGGTGGTATCGTAGTGCCTTTTAATTTAAGTATTTAATTTTCATCTTCATTTGGATCTATTTGGCCTCTCAAATGAACTGAGATTCCTGTTAAAGATTGATGTTATTGTCTCTTGTAGAGGAAACTAATAAAGTGTGTGTACCTGTGTGATTTAGGGTCTGTATCATAATCTATACTGATGTCTCTGCTGAAAGTTTGGTTTAGATAGATGTCTCACTGTCCAATGATAGCTCTTATTTGTTTCCAAACTACATTAGCTTCATTGTTAAGGCAAGAGAAGACATTGGCAGCAGATTTATTCAACTGTAAGACTAAGATGTCTGGAGTTTACTGAGAATGTGATAGGGTGTAATTCTGTGCAGTATACCTAAATTATAGCATGTATAATGTCTGCTGGATTTCTAGTTCTTATTCCTGAAGATCCAAATTAGGTATTTTCTTATGGGAGGAGAGTTTCTGTGATTTATTCATTTTGAACTAATTTTGCCAAATGTGATCATTTCCCTCCATTCATCAGTAATTGACATATGTTTGGCATTTACTTTCTTTCTTTCTCTTTTTCTTTTTTTTTTTTTGAGATGGAGTTTCGCTCTTGCCCAGGCTGGAGTGCAATGGCACAATCTTGGCTCACTGCAACCTCCGCCTCCCGGGTTCAAGCAATTCTCCTGCCTCAGCCTCCTGAGTAGCTGGAATTTACAGGCATGTGCCACCACGCCCACCTAATTTTATATTTTTAGTAGAGATGGGGTTTCTCCATGTTGTTCAGGCTGGTCTTGAACTCCTGACTTCAGGTGATCTGCCAGCCTCAGCCTCCCAAAGTGCTGGGATTACAGGCATGAGCCACCGTGCCCGGCTGGGCATTTACTTTCATCCCTTCTAAATAAGAACTATTTTGAGAAGGTAAATGTACAAAATTTAAGGATGAATTATTATGCATTCCAAAATTTTGAGTTTCTTTCTTTTATTTTTTTTCTTTCTCTTTTCTTTTTTTCTTTCCTTTTTCTTTTCCTTTCTTTTACTTTTCTTTCTTTCCTTTCTTTCTCTCTTTCTTTCTTTCTCTTTCTCTTTCTCTTTCTCTTTCTCTCTTTGTCTGTCTGTCTGTCTGTCTTGTTTTTCATCTTTCTGTTGCTCTGTCACCCAGGCTGGAGTGCAGTGGCTCGATCTTGGCTCACTGCAACCTCCACCTCCTGGGTTCAAGTGATTCTCCTGCCTCAGCCTTGAGAGGGATTACAGGTTATCTGGGATTACACGTGTGCACCATCATGCCTGGGTAATTTTTGTATTTTTAGTAGAGACAGGGTTTTGCCATGTTGCTCAGGCTGGTCTCAAACTCCTGGCCCCAAGTGATCCGCCCACCTCAGCCTCGCAAAGTGCTCGGATTACAGGCGTGAGCCACCATGGCGGCCTTAAGTGAGTTTCTTGGCCCATCATCAAATAAGGGTGCTCTTTTACTTTGGGAAGCTACATGGCTCCAGAGCTTCATGAAGAGTGCTTCCTTATTTGTGAAGCCCAAGTCTACTTTTGTTTATTTTGTTTTTGCTTTGGTTGGATATTGGGATTTCTACTTTACAACTAGCTCTTTGACAAAAGTGATTCAGGAGGGACTAAAGTATATTATGAAATGTGCGCCTCTAACCCTCTAGACCTCTTTAATCTCAGATCTTTGCTCTGGGGGAAGCTGATGTGAAGCACCAATGCCTTCACTTGCTCATCGTGCTATTTCCTAAAGTATTGAATCAGTGGGTCAGGTCTCATTGTTACAGAATATTCTGACATTAAGATCTCTCTTGTGGGCCCTTTTGGGTAATTCATTTCTTAGGATGAGCTTTTGAGATTATTCAAAAAAAGGCCCAGTCCCCAACTTTGATCCCTTTCAAAGCAGTTCCGTTTTTTGTTTTTGTTTTTTGAGACCGAGTACCAATCTGTTGCCCAGGCTGGAGTGCAGTGGTGCGATCTCGACTCACTGCAACCTCCGCCTCCCGGGTTCATGCAATTCTCCTGCCTTAGCCTCCCAAGTAGCTGGTGAATTTTTATATTTTTAGTAGAGATGGGGTTTCACCATGTTGTCCAGGCTGGTCTCGAACTCTTGACCTCAGGTGATCCACCTGCCTTGGCCTCCCAAAGCGCTGGGATTTCAGGTGTGAGCCACGGTGCCTAGCCTCAAAGCAGTTCTTGACTGTGGGGATAGTAGCAGAAGCAGACCTGCCAGGGCATGAGGAGGAGGCAGCACCAAAGCTAAGTGGAGTTGCAGTGAGCACAGTTGACAAGAAACTCTAGTTGTGATAGCTACATGATTGCCCTTGAACACCTGTCTGAAGACTGGAGGTACAGACTAACATAAGGGTAGCAGGCTGCCTTTATTTCCTGACCTAATGTAATGGCTGCTTTTCACACATAGAATGTGTTTACTCAACATCTCTATGAGTGGTGGTCCCTAGGGCAGTAATGCAAAGCTTCCTCCCCTCAGCCTCACTTCAAGTTTTTGTAAGGGAGGTACCTCCAATAACCAGATTCCCTTCTAGAGGCCTCTTCGTCCTCCCCCACAACTGAGAACTAGTAAGGATGAGATGGCAGGAGGGCATGGCAATAGGAAAATGATGCTTTTCTGGGATTTCAGGCTTTTTATGATTTTAATGCCTTCAGGTTGTTAAGGGCAACGTGTGATTAATATGCAAGTTAACACTTATAGTAGAAAACACTTGGTATCCAAATCTGGAAAGAAGACCAGGACTAGCAGTCCCAACTTACATGAAAAAAATCTTTTATAGAGGCACCAACTTAGGGAGCTGCTGAGCTTTTTCTCTGGTCCTGAGGATGCAGGAGGTGAGGGGGTATGACATGGAATGGATGCTGCTATTTGAAACAAGTGGCTTCTGTCTTGGCAATGGTGGTTTAAAAGCAAGGGTGCTACAGCCAGATTCCCCCTCTGCTTTGCCTCCACTGTGTTTGGAGGCTTGTTTTTCTCTTGCAGATCTTTTTTTTTTTTTGAGACGGAGTCTCACTCTGTCACCCAGGCTGGAGTGCAGTGGCGCGATCTCGGCTCACTGCAAGCTCCACCTCCCGGGTTCAAGCCATACTCCTGCCTCAGCCTCCCGAGTAGCTGGGACTACAGGCGCCCACCACCGCACCCGGCTAAGTTTTTGTATTTTTAGTAGAGACAGGGTTTCACCGTGGTCTTGATCTCCTGACCTTGTGATCCGCCCGCCTCGGCCTCCCAAAGTGCTGGGATTACAGGCGTGAGCCACCATGCCCGGCATATAAAGTTATTTTTTAAAACAAATGTTCAGTTCTAGGAGCCAGGAAATAAATAAATAAATAAATAAATAAATAATAAAATAGTGCGTGGGTGCGGTGGCTCACACCTGTAATCCCAGCACTTTGGTAGGCTGAGGCAGGAATGAGCCTGAGACTTAAAAACCTGCCCATGTGGGTGTGGCTCCTCCTTCCCTAGTCCTCACTGCTCATGGGCTACTGTATGCCCACTCCTTGGTCTACTGTCCCCCCTGACCCCATGCCCTAAGGAAAACCAGAGACTCTCCACTGACAGTCATACTTCTCTCCCCATCCTTCCCCTTTCCTGAGCTTTTCTTGCCCAATATATTCATTCCTCCAATAGCTCAGCTGCCAGCTATAAAAAATAAGGGGAAGGTTATTTTGAAGCTAAAATAGCTGAAACTGTACAGGGTGACAATAGGCCCTATTCCCTCAGCCCCACTGTGTTTTTTTTTTTCTTGTAGTTGTTTTCTGACTGGCTCAAGATTTTATCTTAGCCAAGTCCCCACCCCTCCCCCGTTTGGCGTGTCCACTAACTGCTGTGGCTGGGTTCCTGTTGCTTCACCCATAGAGTTGCCGTGAGCTCACTCGTATGGTGTGGCTCTGATTCAGGGTTTGAATATAAAACAAAACAGGCCAGCCAGGTCTGACCAATCCATTCCTCCTGGGCAATACGCTGAGCAGAGATTTTCCCGCTTGTAAGCAGCCCGGAGCCACACAGCCCAATTTTAGTCATCGCCCTCAAAGTTCTTGGGGTAGAGCCTCTAATGATAACAATGGGCGGGGACTTTGTGGTGTGGGAGGGGCTGCAGCGAGGCAGAGGAGGAGCACGGTGACGGGAGGGCTTCCCCGGCTAAAGCCTCATCCCAGCCTTCCCTAGGACTGGCTGCAGAACTGCCTCCTGGCTGAGGACACCCCCTCCACGCGCACACACTTGCTTCCTTTCCTGCCGCAGCCACCTGGCTCACAGGGCCTGTCGCTGCTGCCCATCTGCCACTAGGGGGCGCCTAGCAGAGAGGATGGAGGGAAGGGGCACCCAGGGCAACAGGACTGGGGGCTCCAGCAGTGGGAGGAGCGGCAGCCGAAGCACCTGTCGGTCCTCCTGGCTCCCTCTTCCCCTGTATGGCCGCTGCAACCAGGGGACAACACAGTGCCTAGTCCACACTCATTCAGCAGGAATGTGTGCATGCCCTAAGGGCATAGCTCAGTCATTTTCACACACCAAGCAACTGTGCTAGACGCTAGGAATGCAGAAGCGGCCTGACAAGGTTCTTGACCCAGAGATGCACTTGATCTAGAGGAAGAAACAAATAGGGTAATTACAATGTGGTATGATAAGTACTATGATAAGGGAAGAACAAAATGCTATGGGAGCATAGGGGTTGGCGGGGGGGCACCTAAGCCAGCCTTGGGAGTCAGGAAACACTTCCTGGAGAAAAATACTTTGACTTTTGAAGTAGTTGACTAGAAGTTGGCCAAAGAGTGAGTGAAGAGAAGGGTGTTTCAGCCAGGCAGGATAGCACGTTTACCTGGACACCCCAAAGGTAGTGGCGTGTGTGTGTGTGTGTGTGTGTGTGTGTGTGTGTGTGTGTGTGTATTTTCGGGTAGGATGAATAGCCGTGATGAGGGGTGGGCTGGTGAGACTAGATCATAAGGGACTGTATAAGGAGAGTGTACACATGTCTGTTGTCCCTGCATACTTATTACCAGCACCCCCCTTCACTCTCAAAAGGGTCCTGATTTTGGTGGTAAATTATACAGGAACCCTACTTGTAAGACACACTAGGGAGTTTGAATTTTATCCTAGGAGCGAAGAGGAGCCATTAAGCATTTTAAACAGGGCATCAACAGGATGAGATTTCGATTTTAAAATAGAC